TCTCGCATTGGCTGGTGGCATTTACTCTTTGAGGTGGCTGCATGTGCCACGTCTCCCCAGCAGTATCTAGTCCACAAGGAAGACAAGAGCCTTCTACTGCTACTGACGGATGGAGCTGCCCTCTCAGCTCGCGGCCTTGGGAGCAGGGACCAAGACCAGCTGGTGACAGGATGAAGGGGCTAATTCTGCTGGCAGTGAGGGCTAGTGGGTGGAGCAATGAAGGAAAGTCACGTTCTAGGCCTGGCTATTTGGGCTGCTAGAATAAGCCCAGGAGTTCAGACCCTCTGACCACTAGACCCCTCTCCCCTCCTGGAGCCAGGATAAAACCCCTGAGCCCTGGCTCCCTCCCTGTTCTCCTCCCTTCCCCAAACCGCCTCCCCCTTGTGGTGGCTTCACTTCCCCGACGGGAGGGGGACGCGGGAACAGGCCTGGGCTTAGCAGACTGGCACCAGCCGGCGGGTTGAGGGTAATTGGCCCAGCCTCTAATAGGTTTATGGCGCCTTCAATTAGCGACTAATTGGTCAGCGCTCATTAACTCGCCTTTGTTTAACTAACCAGGGAGAGATGCCAGGGGCTGCTGCAGCGAACACGGGGGCCACTCACCAGCGCTCTGCGCTGACGCCCCTGGGGAGCGTGGACGGGACATTTCTGCCCCTCTGCCTAGCCCCTACTGCCTTCTCCGAGCCGGGAATAGAACCCAGGAGTCCTGGCTCCCTTCTGCCCCCACAGTAACCACTAGCCCCTACTGCCTTCTCCGAGCCGGGAATAGAACCCAGGAGTCCTGGCTCCCTTCTGCCCCCACAGTAACCACTAGCCCCTACTGCCTTCTCCGAGCCGGGAATAGAACCCAGGAGTCCTGGCTCCCTTCTGCCCCCACAGTAACCACTAGCCCCTACTGCCTTCTCCGAGCCGGGAATAGAACCCAGGAGTCCTGGCTCCCTTCTGCCCCCACAGTAACCACTAGCCCCTACTGCCTTCTCCGAGCCGGGAATAGAACCCAGGAGTCCTGGCTCCCTTCTGCCCCCACAGTAACCACTAGCCCCTACTGCCTTCTCCGAGCCGGGAATAGAACCCAGGAGTCCTGGCTCCCTTCTGCCCCCACAGTAACCACTAGCCCCTACTGCCTTCTCCGAGCCGGGAATAGAACCCAGGAGTCCTGGCTCCCTTCTGCCCCCACGCTAACCACTAGCCCCTACTGCCTTCTCCGAGCCGGGAATAGAACCCAGGAGTCCTGGCTCCCTACCTGCCCCCCCCACTAACCACTAGCCCCTACTGCCTTCCCAGAGCCGGGAATAGAACCCAGGAGTCCTGTCTCCCAGGCTCTAACCATTATAGCCCACTCCGCCTCCCTGGTCTCTGTCTCACTTTCATTCCTGGTGTCTCTGGCGCCTGGCCCTCGTCACTCACCGACAGGTGCTGGAACAGCCAGGCCCGCATGATGTTAGTGGCCACTTTGGGGAAGATCCCCCGCTTCTTGTTGCGTTTCTTGTCCCGGTCCAGGTCATCGTCGTCCCCAGTGCTGGGCGAGGCCACGCTGGTGTCCAGGCAGTCCCCTGCAAGGAAGCAGCCGCTGGGGGAAAGGCACCTTGGGTGACCAGGAGTCGGACTTGAACCCGAGGCTGGCTCTACCTAGTCAGCTGCCCCCTGCTGCTTGCACAGAAGAAGAGCGCCTGGCCTCTTCCCAGGCCAGTAGGGGGCGTCAAAGAGCCGGAGGAGGCCCCCTAGGGGCAAGAATGTGAAGTGCAGGCTCTTGGCATCTTGTTCCCTTCTGCTCCTTGTGCAAGCGTGTTCACCAGTGCACAGAATACTAGTGCCCATCCCCTCGTGCAACAGACCCACTCGCTTCTCAGAGCTGGGGGCAGAACCCCACAAATCCAGCTCCCCAGACCTCCTCATTTTAACCGGTAAGCCCCATTCCCTTCACAGAGCAGAGGAGAGAACCCAGGCGCCCCCCTCGCTCTAACCACTAGACCCCACTCCCTTCCCAGGGCAGGAGAAAGAAGCCAGGCGTCCCGGCTCCCAGACTCCCCTATCCCGACCCACACACCCCCTCCCCCGGCTGATGACGGATCCCTGGCGGAATGGGCCCGCCTTGGGAACTGTGGGTGTTTCTTTGGTTCCTTGTGGTGCTGGGCCCAGGAGGAGGCGACCGTGGACCAGGCTGGCCCCGGGATGTGGGGGGCCCAGCTGCTCAGAGGGGCGGGCAGCAAGGAGCCTGCACACCCCAGGAGGGGGCCTAGGAGCTCCCAGAGGGCCAAGCCCAGGCACGGACGGACAGACAGAAGGGTACGACGGACAGACGCCTGCACTGCCCAGCACCCCACGTTGCCAGGCTCCTGCGTTGCCGCAGACATCTTCTGGCGGGATTCGAACCTGCGGCTTTCTGGGCTGGCGGGGATGTGGTTCCCTGGGAAAAACAAGCCTCCCTGTGGCAGAGGTACCATTGCACAGAACCTGGGCCTGCTGGCTGGATGCCCTGCAGCGCCATTAACAGTGCCAAGGGCTGGTATGGGGGGGGGGGTACCAGAGGGGCTCT